AGATTTGGTATATTCAACGATTTAACACTCAAATCAAAAAAGTAGATATTCAGGTTAACACACGAGTCATAAAGTAGACATTTTCAACGGTTTACTCTCGAATCAAAATTGTAGAAATTAGTGAGGGTAACATTCGAGTCTGAATGGTAGACATTAGTCCGGTTAACTCTCGAGTCAACAAGGTAGACATTTTCGACTGTCAATACTCGAGCCGAAATGGTACGCAAATGCCCGGTTAACTTAAAAAAGGTAAACATTAATCCGGTTAACACCCGAGTCAACAATTTAAACATCTTCAACGGTTAACACTCGTATCAAAATGGTGTATATTAATCCGATTAACACCCGAGTGAAAAGATAGACCTCTTCGACGCTTGACTTTCGAGTCAAAATCGTAGGTAATAGTCCGGTTATCACTCGAGTTAAAAGGGAGACAATTTTGACAGTTACTACTCGAGTCAAAAGGTAGACATCTTCAACGGTTAACACTGGGGTCAAAATTATAGACATTAGTCAGGAGGTAAAAAAGATAGATACCTTCAACGATTAACACCCAACTCAAAAAGGTATACATTACCCATGTTAACATGAATCAAAGAGTCAAAAAGTAGTCGATTTCAACAGTTTACTCTTGTGTCAAAATGCTAGAAATAAGGTTGACTCTCGAATCAAAAAACCAGACATATTAGTTGGTTACCACTCGAGTCAAAATTTTAGATATTAGTCTGATTGCATCTCGAGTCAAAAAGTTAGACACTAATCTGGTTGACACTCGGCTCAAAATGATAGATCTTGGACGGGTTTTACTATAGAATCAGAAAGATAAACATTATTACGATCTATAATAAAGTCAAGAAGGAAGACATAGGTAAACTAGTAAAAAAAAACAACATATCCGTTTTTCATAAAAATTAAAGTCAGTTTTAAAAAACAAAAAGAAGGCATTGGCAGGATTCATCTCAGAGCTTGTACCTATCAATTTGGAATGTGGACTCTCACCAATATTCAAGATAATGAAATCAAAGTAAAATTTCCCTACAACCCATACAATTGCAGGGCGATTTAAAATAAGGTAAACTTTTATTATACATAGTGCTCAAATTATTTTTTCAAGTATAGATTTGAGCAGCCCAAATAAACTGTTTTTTTTTTCAACAGATTTTGAATTTTCTAGCAGCACCGGTAAACCTATCAATAATTACGAATCACTTAGCAAGTTTCATAACAACTTTATTATTATTATTATTATTATTCCGAGATGATGTCTTCTTGATGGCGAAAATTGCCACGCTCTGTGTACGTTTTGGACAAATTGAAAATGAGTAATTATTGCTTGATGACCCGAGGCACCTGTCCATTTGCTGGGCAGTAGCCTTTCTTTGACGTGCAAATCAAATTGATTGTCAGACGTATGGCTTTTTGAAAGACAGCAGAATGGAAAAATGTCATTGTGTTAAAGGCTGCCAGATAGATTCAACTGACATGATATTGGGAAATGCCCAGACACTTCGAAACTAGAGAGCTTTTACATTTTAGTTTCTGACGGTTTGAAAGAAGGTATAAATAATAATAATAATAATAATAATATATATATATATATATATATATATATATATATATATATATATATATATATATATATATATATGTTTGGGAGTAAGCCACAATGAGTTTGGAACTTGCAGGTATAGTTCAGTGGTCACTGTACCGGATGGTTCAATTATCGTTTTGTCACAGGTGTGGAATTGAAAAAAAGACATTGACAGGTTGCAAAACAGCTAGACGACAGACGGGATGTCATAAAATGCAACCAGAGAAAGGGTTTCAAATTAAACACACTCCGCTATAAAACTTTATCATTCTCAGACGCGAAAGTTACACAACGTATAATAAGCTTAACTAAGTCTGGTACAAGGTCATAATTTTTAGGTAAGTAGTACTATGCCGGAAAAGACTGTATCTATTTTCGCATCAGACCAAGGAAGCCAGATGAAGGGGTCACCTGAGGTTATTTCCGTTTGCCAAATGGAGAAGCGCGTGACCTCACACCTGCATTCGTTTTTTTTTTGCAAGTGTGGGAAAAGTTTGTAATAAATGCAGTTATATAAACGACCTCTCCAGAGCGGATTTGTACAGTTTTTTCTCCGATACCGAGCAGTGTATTAAGCCAACTTTCTGACAAGTGATCTAGTTTGATCGCAACACACACTGACCGAGAGTAACGGCTTCATCGTGAATAAAATGTAACATTAAGTAATGAAAAGAAAGCATAATTCGACTAGCACCGGCTGATCGGTCAATGAATGTGTTTAATAACTGATTCCCATCTCCCATTCTACAAGCTTGTTGATGCCATTTTCATAGAAATTACCATTTCTTGTTTGTTAGAAGATGGTGATATACTTTTCGACTGACTGTACAGAGTCAATATAAAATGTGTTCCAATAACTTGGACCGATTTTAAATGTAAATTAAGTTTTTCTTTTTCTTTCAGATTTGGCGGACATTTAGGCGAGATTATTTTTCACACATAATTGCCACGACTTAAATAACATGATCTAATAGGGAAATAAATAAATTTTCACCAATAACACAGATTTATTTAATCCTGACTTTGATCCGTCTTAATGAAACACGCTTATATATAACCCATCTTAATGAAACACCCTTACATATTATCCGACTTAATGAAACATCCTTTATATATAATCCGTCTTAACGAAACACCATTATATATAATCCGTCTTAATGAAACACCCTTATATATAATCCATCTTAATGAAACACCCTTATATATAATCCGGCTTAATGAAACATCCTTTATATATAATCCGTCTTAATGAAACACCATTATATAATCCGTCTTAATGAAACACCCTTATATATAATCCATCTTAATGAAACACCCTTTATTTGTTATTTTAACTCTTCTGAAGAGACCGGAACAAATAAAAAATCAAAAAATCAAAAAAAAAAAAAACGAAGCATCTAACTTAGGAGACTTGGTCGGTGCTGAAGGGTTTCATATTTCAACTCTTTAAGTTTCTGCAAGGTCTGTTTTGCAACATGCAGTCTTGCGTTGATCTGGTAGAAAATTACATCTTTCCAGTTTTCCAAAATCGGCCATCTTTTTTGAATAGCGACATTGAGATTGGTCGCAATACTTCTTTGCAGTATAATTTCGCCAGTTGGAAGAAGCTCAGAGCGAACTATCCATCTGCAGTGCTACGGATGATAGTGGGTATATATCCATTCACATAAATACAGTAGTAAATACTATATGTTGGTCCAGAGTTGGAAATTCGTCTCCAGCTGTGCTGGTCAAACTCTCTGCCTCCGGGCAGAGAGGATCCCCAGACGAGACTATGTCGAAGGGCAGAGTCTCGGCTCGGGAAACAGCTATCCGACAACGTTTTATACGGTGTCTACGCGGAAATGTTGGCTGAGCCTACGGTCTTGGATACCCCATATTAAATTCGGCCTTGTGTCACATCTGACCGTATGGGATCGGTTGGTAGATATCCTGAAGTTGGAAATTCATTGGGGAATTCACTTGACTCACTTCTAGCAGTTAACTACTACTTCTGCGCACCGCTGGCGAATCTTATATGTGTTGTTCTTGTCGTAAGTATTATCGTTCATTACCAACCTTCGTACGATTATTCTATTTAGTAACCTTTCCTAGGTTACAACAAATCCTACCACCAAACAGGTAGCAACAGCAGCATTTAGCCACGATTTTGATACATTCACAAGCTTGTTTGCAGCACCATTTTGTGTCGAACGTTATTATAATCGATCCATTTTTATTTACTGTGACAGTTCTATCCAACAACGGCTCCTATTTGTGGCGTAACATCCAACAAATCACTGCAAAAAGTCGAACTAATATGTTCTGTGTTGTCTGTAAACATGGCACCGAGTTTGGAAACGAATCCAAGTTTCTTCAAATGCTGAAAGGCAGTTGAGATATCGATTTTCAAACTTTTGGCAATCTCTTCCGTCGAAATCTTTGGTTGATTCTCCACGATGGCAAGCAGAGCGTCTTCATCGACATCGGAAGCTCGAGCGGAGTGAGTGTGGTCGATTATTTAGGCTAAAATCACCCTGGTAAAATCTGCCAAACCATTTTTTGACCGTCCGAAGAACTGGAGCCCGATCCAAATAAAGCTTGTGATTTTTTTTTGTCGCAGTTCCAACGCTTATTCTAAAATTCATAGGGCGTAATATTGACAGTGCCACTTTTTATCCTCCATGTTTAACGCATTCATTTGTAGACAAAACATTAGCATTCAACAAAGTCTAACTCGTAACTGAACGATGAAAGGTTTGAATCTAAAACAAAGCAAACACCAGTATCAAGTTACAGTCATTTTATATTAATAATGAAAATCTGGCACGAACCTTTTGCAATGATCAGATATGAGCCGAAAACGAAATCCAAACAGATTGTTGGCTTTGAGGAATAATGGAAATAATATATTATTGGTCTAATTTTCACCCAATACAGTGCTCAAAATAGAAGATTAGGCAAAGACGGGGGTTGTTGGGACGTAAGAAGGGGAAGTAAAACGTGAAGATTATCAGGATATTGAGAACATATAACGATTGGACATGAAGAGGTTAACATTATAGCATCCAGAGAAGTATCCACACGGGAGTCATTTTCACAGGAATTCTTTTCAAAAAATATCTGTGAGCGTGAAGCTTCCTTCTTACAAATATGAGTGATTCGTTTCTTACGGCTTATCAACGATTTGCAGGTTATTTAAAGCCAGAAAATATTTTACATTGTGAGAAATTTTTATTTTTTTGATAACAGTGATTTTGTGATAAAAGTCTTACTAATTAAGAAAAGGGGAGAAAAGATAGATTCATTCTTTTCCCAAGAATAATTACCCGTAAGTGAATTTAACGAACACGACTAGAATTCGAATTCAGCTCTCTGTTTAAAAATGCCGAGCCATTATCCATTACACAACACACACGTCTAAGCTTAGAGCACCTGGTATTACTAAGCGGTCACTTATCTAACTACTGACCAAACTCGACGTTGCTTAACTTCGGTGATCTTGCAGGAACCGGTGGTTCAACATGATGTGGTCGTAAGCTTCGATTTGACCCTGTGTATACAGCATGGCTATAAAGGTCTGAACTGGTCGAACTCAGAAATGTAGCTCGTCTGAACATTTGCCTCTAAAGTAGCGATAGGCTTGTGACGTTGCGTCTTTGGGGAAAGGGGCCGTAGTATAGAAAATGTCATCGTCCACAAATCTCGGAAATGATTTTGATCTCTGTTGTTATGGGACCTACCTTTAGGGACTAAATGGACTCGCCCTATTACTATATATACGGGGAGATTATGCCTCTCAAGAGGGCTGTCGACAGTTGACCTGTTCCAGCTAAACAGTCGAGCTCTCTACCTTCGGGCGGAGAGGAACCCGGACGAGACTCCGCCGAAGGGCAGAGTCTCGTTCCGGGAGGTTGACTGCCTCTGAAACCGTTTATGAGGGTTCAAAGAGGGATTATTTTTGGCCGAGCCTACAGGCTCGGATATCCCACGTTAAACCGGCCTTGTACCACATGTAACCCACGTTGGGGGGGGGTAACTAAATATCGCTGTCTACAGTTGACGAGTTGACTACTGTACATTGCCGTCAGTCGGACGTGCAACACTTTTGTATTCGTTCTTTTTGTTTAATATGTTTTCACTAAATTGCTGATTTCGAGTTTTCTTTCGGACCTATTCTGGGTCCACAACATCTGTCGAGTCTGAAAAATGAGGAACAGGCGACCCCAGTTCAAATTTGATAACCTTGTGTGGGAAATTGGGTAGACGGAACCCTTGAGTGCCATCGCTGGTTCCGCTAGGACGAAGTCACTAGCCTATCGCTACTTTAGGGGCAAATGTTCAGACGAGCTACATTTCTGAGTTCGACCAGACCTTTATAGCCATGCCGTATACACAGGGTCGAATCGTCTTCGTTCTCATCTCATTTGTAACGCTTACGGTATTTAGTCCCCACCCCAGAGGGCATCATGTGGCACAAGGCCGGTTTAACGTGGGATCTCCGAGCCCGTGGGATCTCCGAGCCCGTGGGATCTCCGAGCCCGTGGGCTCGGCCAAAAATATGCGCTTTGAACCCGTATAAACGTGTTCAGGGCCGGTTTACCCCCCTGAAAGAGACTCCACCCTTTGGCGTAGCCTCGTTCGGGTTCCTCCCCGACCGAAGGCAGAGAGTTCAACCGATCTGTCGTTCAAGACTTGAACTACTGACGATATTCAGTCACCCCACCCAACGAGGGCGTCATGTGGCACAAGGTCTTTTTAACGTGGGCTCTTCGAACCCGTGAGCTCGGCCAAAAATATGCCCTTTGAACTCGTATAAACGGGTTCAGGGTCGGTTTACCTCCCCGAAAGAGATTCCTCCCTTCGGCGTAGCATCGTTCGGGTTCCTCCCCGCCCGAAGGCCATAGAGTTCAACCGATCAGCCGATCAGCCGGTCGGCCGACTTCGGACTGAACTGTAATTTGTAACGCTTACGACCACATCATGTTGAAACTCCGTTTCCTGTACGATCACCGAAGTTAAGCAAACATCGAGTTTGGTCAGTAGTTAGATAAGTGACCGCTTAGTAATATCAGGTGCTCTGTCAAGTCTGAAAAATGAGGATTAGGCGGCTCCAGTTCAAATTTGAAAACCTTGTGTGTGGAATTGGGTAGATGGAATCCTTGAGAGCCGTCGATGGTTGCGCTAGCACGAAGTCACAAGTCATCGTGACCGAGGCTTTGAGCGTTCTGGCCTTGTTCAGACTGTTGATCAAGCTAGATAACGTGCCCTCTCGCAGAAACTGTAACTATGGTCTGTTCAGAATAGTTGCAATATAAACCACAGGTGGGCACTGTGGGTGTTGAACTAACACAAATGTGTCTGAGCAGGCATCTACAACAGGGATTAGCTAGCTGCCCTAGTAGGCAGGTATCGTCGGATTCGAGTGGCTGTGTCATTTACACTTCTTTTAAAACTCTATTTTTGGTGTTCTTTAAGGCTTGTTAAAGCATAACACAAGGTGCTGGGTTCCTCCTGAGATTTGCTTTGCTTTGTTTGTTTAACGGCATATCAACTTCTCATGGGTCATTTAATGCTGAAATTTAATTTTCTTAGGAGCTTTGAAGTAATTTGATATACGCTATTCCGCTTTCATAATTGAATGCAAAGCAGACGACACTCAACTTTTGTTCACATACACTTTTGTGTGGACATAATTACTAGAGGCGGTGATATGTGTGTGGGGTTTATGTTTCAGTTTTGTTCAAGTTAGATTTTGAAACACAGTTTGATTTAAGAAATATAGGGTATTATATAGATTAATATCATGAAGGAGTTCTTTCATGTTGGTTGTTTAGTTGCTTGATTTTTTTTAGCGGCATATCAACACCTCTATGGATCATTTAATGTCGAAATTTAACTTTCTTGGGAGCATTAGTAATTTCTTTTACAAAAAAAAACGTATTGCTGGTATTTTTACTATGTGTTTTAATACCTTATTGGGAACTTTGAAGCAATAAAAAATATAATATACGTTATTCTGCTTTCACAGCTGAATACATGGTAGATGATTCTCAGATTTTGTGTAGTGGATATGATTACGAGAGGCGGTGATATGTGTATTTTATGTTGTACTTTTGTTCAAGTTATATTTCGGAACACAATTTGATTTCTTTAAAAAATTATGAAACAGTTTTTTCTTGTCCGTTGTTTGGTTGGTTGATTTTGCTTTGTGGCATATCAACACTATACGTTATTACCGAAATCTAAATATTTTGAATACAATTTGGTTTCAACTAAATATATTTTAAACGCATATGTATGTCTTCAACTACAAATAAAATGTTGATCATTTTACTATAAATAGGTATTGTTAGTAATTTATTTTCCGAAACATCGAATAGATTATACTCTACAGTGAGAATAAAGGCTTCTTGCGATTTAACGACTCTGAAGCCGGTTGTATAATAAACACGTTTTAGTTGGTTGTTAGTTGACTTTCTCTAGCGGCATATCAATCTCTATCGGTTATTTAATGATAAAATCTAGGTATTCTGAACACAATTTTATGGCTTCAACTAAATATATTTTGAACGAAATTATATATATTCAACTACAGATAAAATATATTGTTGGCAATTTTTCCTATAAATATGAATTGTTGGTATTTTTTTATATAAAAATATATTGCTAGTATGTTTACTATAAAAATATATTTTTATACTTTCATAGTGTTTTTTTTGTGGGGGGGTCAATATTTCCCGTAGCTGAGGCCCTAACAGGTGCTACCACCTAGGGTGAGGGTGTGTCTGGAAACAACGTCCGTTAGGAGGTGTTTCCAGGCTCATGAAAAGCGGCAACCTTCTGTTCAGAGGCCTTGCTGCTGGATGTAGTTTATCATCATACCCAGGACTAGCTGGAAAAGAAACTGAATATTTTTCCAACATTTTTGGCAATGCGTCGTATATATGAGCTCCACGCGTGAATTGAACTTGTGTCCCAATAGATGTTCAACGCAAGGAGTGTCATTAAGAGAGAAATCGTTCATCATGCCTGAAGAACATCCGGAACTTGCTCAGGGATGATGAAATGTTGCTGGCTTGGTTTTGGCGGGTATTGAATGTTACAAGCCAGTTTGACATCTTTTGAGCTGTTAGAGCTAGATCATGGAAGCGACCATCTGCCAGACTCTGATCATGCCAGCATAGAAAATAGGAATAACAAATTGATTACGATCGTTAATGAAGCTGAAAGGATAATGGTAAACAAACAGAAACATCAATAACAAAGGGAGATAACTCAAAGTTAAAAGAGAAACGATTAAAAAGAAGCGTAAATATCGTCTTAAATACTGGGATTGATAAAACTAAAACAATCAGAATTAAAATGGTTACCCCACCCCTACAAAAAAAAGAAAAGAGAAATAAATAGAAACTTAAACGTATGAGTAGCACAACGGTTATCGGCGCGAAAATAAAATCGAGCCGAGTTCAAATCACGACCTAGTCTGTTACGTTTACACAAATGTCCTTGGGAAACCATCTCTTCGCCACTCAACTATCAAATAATAGACTAGGCTCTATAGACGTTTCGTCGCGGAGAAGGAAACCTCTGAAATCAAAACAGAGGAGAATGTAACAGGAAACTACTCCACTATCTTTCCCAACGTGCCATGAAAATTCCAATAAATAAAGAAAAGGATACCGTGAAGAATAATGATCGAATTGTGGCCTAAAGGAATATGGCGTTTGAAAAAGGTTTCATGATCTCGAAAATAGTTTTTGAAGTACTTCATCCATGATTTTTTTGAGCTTTTAAATTTCATCTGAAACAGACTGCACAAAATCCAGAATAGCGTTTCAAATATCATCTTTACTGGTAAATTGCTGTCCACCAATTAACTTAGCCTTTCTCTTCAGAATGCTCCATCAATTTACAACTTGTCAAAGTCGAGCGAACAGGCGGGCCTCTTCATCAAAAAGCGTCTTTGAAACCGATTTTCTTCATATTATCCTCAGTTTTATTGATCGAATGTAATAGAAAACAGTTTTGTTTCGAAACCTGTTGGCTTCTCATTGAACCACAGTATAACTTTAAAATGTGTTTGATCTGTCATCTTAGCATCATCTGGAACTTGATATGAACCGACCACATAACCGCCTATAACTCCACCCGAAAACATCAGAGTATCTATGCTTTGTTAGGTGACCCTAAGACCGGTATCAAACCATTGTATCAGTTCTCATTATATGTGAGAATATGCTTGGTTCAGGGGATCCCAATCCAGCGAAAACACCTCCTTTGGACTAGGAGAGATTGGGTAGATCTAATATTAACGCCAAGTGGTTGGGGGAGTCCGAGCATTTTTCGCCCTTCGCCCATATTCACGCCCACCTTGTGACACATCCAGATAAATAAAATCAACCTCTAATAGTGTTTACCACCAGGAATCAACCAGCCTTTGTTACATCTTTTTGGCCCATCAAGGATATCGTGGTATTCGCCAGTGAAAAGGATGGTTGCAGAATCTGTGTTCATGTATTCTATTGTCCAGTTCAAA